TTTTTTGTTTAAGAGTAGCTGGGACTGACAACAGGAGCACAGTGCCTCGCTCAGCTAATTATTCAATTTTTTTTGTAGAGATAGGGTCTTTCTGTGTTGCTCAGGCTGGTCTTGAACTCTTGAGCTCATGCAATTTGCAAACACCAACCAAAAGGTAATTTTTTTTTTTTAAGTTATGTTACTAGCCAAAATAAAGTTCAGATATAATGTTGAAAGGAAATTCATCAGGAAGATAGGCCTACACTTTTATGTGCCTAATAATGGTCTCAAAATATAGAAAACAAGCTGGGCGTGGTGGCTTATGCCTGTAATCCCAGCACTTTGGGAGGTGGAGGTGGGCAGATCACCTGAGGTCAGGGGTATGAGACCAGCCTGGCCAACATGGTGAAAATACAAAAACTAGCCAGGCAACGTGGCAGGCATCTGTAATCCCAGCTACTCAGGAGGCACTGAGGCAAGAGAGTTGTTTGAAACTGGGAAACATAGGTTGCAGTGAGCCAAAATCACACCACTGCACTCCATCCTGGACAATAGAGTGAGACTGTGTCCCAAAAAAAAAAAAGTATATATGTATTTATAAAATAAAACAATTATAAGAACTTGACAAGGCTGTATGGGAAGTTTAAAAAAAAAAAAAAAAACCTCTGTGTAATAGATTAGGCAAACAGTAAGAATGTGACCAAACAGACTAGACCAAACATTAGTAAAATATGAGTGATACAACTAAGCATAATATTATAGACTGATAGAACTCACTTGAAATTAAGAAAATAGTTAATTCTTTTCAGGCACGCAGGGGACATGTGCCAAGGGGGAGAAGCAAAACAGCAAATCCAAAGAAATACTAAGAATAATTAAATACCTTTTCTGGCTGCCGTGGAATATTAGGAAAAAACAAAAGAGAAGAGAATCAAAACTATACACTTGGAAATTCAAAAGCACTTTTTTTTTTTTTTTTTTTAATATACAGTCTTGCTCTGTTGCCAGGCTGGAGTGTAGTGGCGCAATCTAGGCTCACTGCAACCTCTGCCTCCTGGGTTCAAGCGATTTTTTTTTGCCTCAGCCTCCCAAGTAGCTGGGACCACAGGTGGGTGCCACCACGCCCAGCTAATTTTTTTTTATTTTTAGTAGAGACGGGGTTTCACCATGTTGGCCAGGATAGTCTCGATCTCTTGACCTAGTGATTCACCCGCCTCGGCCTCTCAAAGCGCTGGGATTACAGGCATGAGCCACTGCACCCGGCCCAAAAGCACTTCTAAATGATTAGTAGGTCCAGATGAAAAGCACAAGTGTCAAATAATCACAATGAATAGTTGTTTGGGATGCCTTAATTTATAAACTGGTTTTCTCTGATGAATATAAAGCATCTGCACTTTATCACTCAAGGGTTTATACTAAGGGCCAGATTTACTAGTTAATATGCTTATTTCTGTGTCATCTTGGAGTTTTTAAGCTAGCTAACTAAAGTTGTTAGATTTATAAGTTCAGAAGGCTGAAATGACTAGGTTAAAATTAAGGGCCTTACTGTTAGGTTTGAGATAGGGTTACAGGACTTATGTGCTATATCCTACTAAAATTTTGCCTGAACCTAAAGAAAATATGTTATGATCATATACTTTGTCACTGGGAGAACCTACATCCATGCTTCAGGATATAGTTTAACCTAAAGCTTCGTGCATCCCCAACTATCTTATTTTACTCATTGTTTACCCCTCATAACCGTTTTCATCCTTTGATTTGGGAGAATCTGATTTCCTGTTTTCATAGAGGCATCTGATCTTTTTTTTTTTTTTTTTTTTTTTTTGGGGGGTTTTCTTTTTTTTTTTTTTTTTTTTTCCGAGACAGGGTCTCGCTCTGTC